CGGGCTGCCCCCCCAGCCCGCGCCGGCTCTGCAGCCCAGGGCGCCCTTTGCTCTGCAGGGCTGGTGGCCTCCCTGTCCGAGAGCTGGTACAACCTCCTGCTGGACATGCAGAACCGGCTCAGTAAAGTCATCAAAAGCGTGGGCAAGATTGAGCACTCTTTATATCCTCCGGGCCGCCGCGCTGCACGCCCCGCCGCGCTGGGCACTGCTGTCCACGAACCCAAACGGCTCCTGTGGGACCAGCCCTGTTAGCTCACAGGAAATCCAAGCACACAGGAGGGAGAATAGTATAAATAACCCAGCGTCACTGGTCCACCTTGGAAACCTACATTTATGTCCCTGAAACGTGCCTGCCTCTGGCCCTGCTGGCATCACATGTCAGACAGTCATTTTCTATGACAGCATAGAAACCTCCTTTCAGGGATTTTGTTGGGGGCAGTGGTGTCTGAGGACCTTGCTAGAGAGGCTGCAGGCGCTGGGAAAAGTAAAGAAGCGGGGGGTGGGGTAGGGGCTGGGGGCTCCTGCTGAGTCTGTGGCATTGGTCGTGCTGTGACGAGGCCGTGTGGCCTGGCGGTAGCCGGGGGAGGGGTCGGTTGGGGCATGCCTTGTCTGGAGGAGGGGCTCTCCTGGCGCGCACCCAGCCCACTGTCTGCAGCGCTGCGAGCACCACCCCTCCAGGCTCTGCCTGAAGCCTGGGCTGTACTTTGGAAAACACTGTGTGAAGATCACCGTGTTGAGAGCCGTTGGAGCAGGTGATGCTTTTCCGGGTCTTTCATTCCAAGATGGTCCAGGAAGCAGTGAGGCTCCCAGGCGGGTCTGTTCCTCTTCGCGCCCCGATGGTCAGCTTGTGGCCTGAGCAGAGGGCATGACTGAGGTCAGGGCATTTCCATGTACGCACATTCCTTAACTCCCTCCACCTGGAGGTCCTTTCACACGGAGCGGAAGACGGAACCGGCCACCGGCTTCATCGACGGGGACTTGATTGAGAGTTTCCTGGACATCAGCCGGCCCAAGATGCAGGAGGTGGTGGCAAACCTTCAGGTGAGCTGCGCGGTGTCCCGCCCTGGGCCGTCACACATCCGCTGCAGGGCACGCTGGGACCGCTGAACTCCGGAGCCTCCCTCCTCGCTTCCCAGAGACCCGGGGCCCCTTGTATGTATTCATTCTCCTGCCCGGGCAGTGGAGTCTGAGGACAGGAGATGTAGCTGAGCTCGCCTCCTGGGTCCCCACCAGGCGCTTTAGCAACAAGGGCCCCTCGGGGCACATTGGGATTCTGTCAGACCCAGAATGCCACCGGGAAGAGAGGTGGCCCCAGTGCGGCAGGTGGGGTATTGCTCCCTGGAGATGGTGCCTCTGGGGACCACCCTGGAAGTGCAGAACGTCCCCCAGGCGGCAGCTCCGAGCCAGGCTCGTGGTCAGCAGACCTGCTGGGCTGTACCCCGAGGGAGAGGTGTGGGCCTCGGAGGGGTCCCTGCCAGGCATGCCCTTCCCCAGGGGGAGAGCCCCTCCCCGCCCGCACACCTTCCTCCTCCCTCCCGCAGTATGACGACGGCAGCGGGATGAAGCGCGAGGCCACGGCGGACGACCTGATCAAGGTGGTGGAGGAGCTGACGCGGATCCATTAGCCAAGGGCAGGGCTCCCGCTCGCAGACCCTCTGGGAAGGCTTTGCCCTCCTGTCTCCCCTCCCCCGCCGCTGTCTTCTCGGCCACGGGAAGCCTTTCCTAAGCCGCTGTCCCAGAAGCCACAGTCACCTGTGAACGTGGGGGTTTCTTAGAACTACACCAGCTCCCGGACACCTGGGAGTGGCCGAAGGTGAAGACCTTCCTCCCTGGGTTTTTAACGTCACTCCTGCTTCCAGCCCCACTGCGGCCACCAGGCCTTGGTGGTAAGGCCGCCCTTCCAGGGAGGGTGCAGCTCCGTGGCCGAAGGGAAGCTGTGTGTGTCACGCTCATGCGCTGTCCTCTGCTATCTCTATTTAGGTTGGGGTGTGGGGGGCCGTGGGACAGGGAGGAGGGCGGGAGGGTTCATTGTCTTTGAAGTGAGGGCTTCCTTTTCCTTCCGTCTGCTGCCTCTGAGAGCTTTGGTCTGGAGACCTGACCACCAGGCCCAGGGCTGCCTGCGTGTAGAATCGGAGATGGTGGTTGGTCCCCAAACCACAGCCTTTCTGTGCGTGGGGAGCTGACTGCCTTCTTCAGCGAGGAGGTGGGTGGGCGTGATTGGTGGTTAGTTTACCAAATAAAGTAGAGTCTAAGAGGAAAGATCCATGTGTTTTTGCTTTTCTTCTTGCTGCCCGCCAATCCAGTATCCTGGTCACACTGCCCAGTTTCCCCAAGTTCATTCCCCACCTGGATGGCAGCTGCTGCAGTCACTTGCTGTTGCTGCCGGACAAGTCCTCTTCAGCTCTCAAGTAGCAAGGCGACGTCTGCACCTCCTTAGCCACGTGAGCTCTAAGGTGATGGCGTCAGGTTTTTGATTCCCTGATCTGGTTACTGTGACTGATGACCATTTGCGTCCCAGCTGCCTCTTAGTCACCTGCTGGGCCTGGGGGTTGCTTGGGCTGCCTTTCCCGACATCGTTTTACAGCCATAAGGTCCAAGGAGCCAGGAAGGTGAGAAATGCCAGGGTAGAAAGTGGTCCCTTTTGAAATACTCGGGTAGGAATTTGCAACACCTCCAAGACCCCGACTCCTGCGGGTGGACGTGGATGCGGCTTTTCTTTAACACAAGGCTGCAGCGCAGCTGTTCTCAGACCATCGTGGGCAGACCCTGTCAGTGAAGGGCGGGCGCAGGGGCGGGGCTACCTGGAGCACTGCAGCTCAGGTGTGCTGGAGTGTGGGCGGAGCAGGCGCAGGTAGCTTCTGGGCCAGGGTGGAGCACTTGCTTGGCATCGATGGTCTCGGTGGGCCCAAGTGAGAGAAGAGCTTTCTGTGTCTGTCCCAGAGCTAGATCTGTGGCTCCATGGTCATGGAAGGTGGACACTGAAGCACTTGGTGAGGAGGAGGGAGGAATGCAGTGTGAATGGTGGAGGGAGGAAGTGCACCTGCAGATGTTTGAGGCACAAACGAAAGATGCCCTAGGGGCCTGAATGGACATAAATATGGAAGCTACATTCAACTCAGAATATTCTCGCAACCTATTTCTGAGGATTTTCAGCTTAGCTCAGAAGATGGATCAAAACTAACAAAGTGAGAAAACCAGCCTAAATGTAAACATCTGCAAAAACTGGACCACACAGGTTCAGGTAGGGAGGTCGGCGTAGCAGCTTGTATTTAATGACATGCAAACACGACAACTAAAACACTGAGGCTTTCCTTTGTTTTGAACCCACAGCATCATGGGGGTTGCCCCAAGGCCAAGTGGTATTAGGATGCGTTAGGAAAAGTGTCCGAGCACTCGCTGGCGTGGCTCAGTGGACCGAAGGGTCCCAGGTTCGATTCCAGTCAAGGCCACATGCCCCGGTTGTGGGCTCGATTCCCAGTGTGGGGTGTGCAGGAGGCAGTCGATCCATGATTCTCTCTCATCACTGACGTTTCTATCTCTCCCTCTCCCTTCCTCTCGGAAATCAAAAATACAAAAAAAATAAAGGCATCCGAAAGGAAAACTGCAAGCATCCAGGCTACTGTTGGCATAGCGTGCTCATCTGTGGCCACCAATGTTAGGGCCTCGGGGACAGGCCCGGGTAGCCTGTGGGCGGCAGCTGTGAGGCAGGACCACAGGAACAGGTCCCTTGGGTGGGAAGTAAGAGCACTTCCGGACAGAGCAGTGACTCAAGCTGGAGTGGCCCCCTTCCACAGGTAGCGAGTTCCTCATCCCTGCCTTCGGGAGATGCTGGAGCAAAGCCCGGCTCACGGGGCTGGGTGGCTGGGTGGCTGGGGAAGATCCCCCCGAAGAAGGCGGGATGTCCGCTTCCTCCGCGGGATGACCCTGGCCGCCTCCACCTGCTCACCACTCCCTGCCCACGGCGCTGACTGGCCGGGCAGCTGCAGAAGGGGGCGAAGAGTGGCCCGCGGGTTCGAAACCGGCTAGTGTCCACTGGCCCGCTCACTCAGGATCAGGGCGGAGACCTGCAGGCGGGCTGGGGCCGGCTTGGAACTGCCCAGCAGTGAAAGGGCCCAGCACCTGGACACAGGCATCTCGGCTCCACCAAGACCAGCAGCGTCTGGGGGCGCAGCCTCCAGCGCCAGCCTGGCTGCAAGTCTCTTCCCTCCGCGGGCCCCGTCTGCCGCCCACGGCCCTTCTCAGGAAGCCGAATCCCAAGCCCAGGCAGGGCCAGTGGGCCGAGGGCAAACCCCGCCCCCAGGGGTCCCCGATCTTTGACCCCATCCGGGACTCTGCGCCT